ACCTAACTGATTTCGAGTGTCGAGAGTAGGGACCCTGACTAGAGAAATTCCTGTGTTATTAGTACCAGAGCAATGGGAATCGCACCCGGGACCTCCTCATCCAGTGCCCATAGTACTAACGGTCAAATCTATTTGTATTATGCACTTCCTCATAATTCATAAAATAAACAAACAAAAAAGTATGCCAGAATTCAAATTTTGAAATAAAACGCAGAAGCGTTGGTGGAAGGTCGGCCTTGAAACGCTCTACTAAATGATATATGGCGAACTGCCAACTGCTTTATGAAGAGTACACAAACATATTATATTGTTCTCATAAAAATTATGAGTTCTAATAGGTGTGTTCACTGTTTTAATGTTTACCTATGCTAATAAACTAAATGATGTTTTCAGTTTACCTACTTTTAACCGCCTTCAAAAAAAAGGAAGAGGTTCTCAATTTGAATATATTTTTTTGTGTTTGTTACGCGATACTCCGACATTTGTGAACTGATTTCGATGATTTTTGTTGAAAAGGGGGTGCCTTAAAAGTGGTCCCATTCAAATTTGAAGAACATATTTCACCTCTGAGGGGATGAATGCAGTTCACTGGATTGCACCCACTCTCCGTTAGCCGTTAGATTTCATTAAAACTTGGCAATGCAAAGATGTAAACCACAAACTTTTGAGATCCGCTTTTTTTGTAAAAAGTTATAGTTATAGTTGTTTTATTTTATGATATCGTCACTAAATCTTTACTTTTTGACAATATCGTAAATAATTAATATTGTAGCATATTTGTAAGAAATTTGATTAAAAGAAACATGTGGCATTTGGCAATATTCTTTGCCTGGCATAGGCATTTCATCGCTTAAGAGCCCTTCAGCTTAATGGCTCTGATTGATTCTGCATAACAGTAAAAGTATTACTTTGGAAAAAATACAATATAGTGTAATTGAGGATATACACTGATTAGTAAACGGTGTGTAAACACGATTTCTAAAAATTTTTACGATAAAAAAACAAACTTATCTCGAAATTTGACAAGAAAACCGCTGCATTCAATAGGTACTTTATATATACCAATGATTTTTTTTTTGTACGAACACGTACTTATACGATATACATTTTCCAAATGACTTTAATGCCGTTTCTAAAAAAAATCATTTCTAAAATAAAACCTGTGTTTCCGCCGCTCGACCCAAGCAAGATGAACCGTATTAGTACGGGAAAAAATTAATTCGAGCTGAGGTAGTATGGACCCTTAACAAAAAACAACTTTCAAGTATTTTCAAGTAATTTTAAAAGAAGTAAATGGACTGCATATACTATTGTACAGAAAACTTTTATTTTCAGTGATCTACTACGGATAACAAATTATTATGTGTGTGTTGATTATATAGCACCTTTGGCATGTAAGGGCTACAAGCATTGTTGTACTCGATGGCTACAAGGGATCAAATGTCAAAAATCACATCCCCATTCACACGCATGCAGGGTGTGCTAGAGCAGTTTTTTTTTTGCTTCAGACAACCTTCTCACTTGACGGAAAGTGACGATTAGGTAGAGATGGGAAAAACTACTTATAAATTTGAAACGTTAAAATATTGTGCTTATTCAAAAAAGTGTGCCCATTAAAGAACTTTTCACTTAAACGCTTATAAAATCGTTTAGAAAAATATAGATTTTATGTTAAAAAAGCTTGCAACATTCTATTCACAATTTCACAGCGAAAAGCGAGAGTAGGTCACTAAAAGTTTTCAGATAAGTTACTTTATGTGTAAAACACAAGTTTTAGTTTTATTTATAACTTAACGTTATAACACTTGACACTTAGGCAAGTTGTAAAAAATGAAATAGTTAAATATTGAACGCTTACACCTTAAAATTATAAACGTGCTTGAGTGCTTATATTAAAATACAAACTTTTTAAACTGCTTTCGTTCAAACGTCCACCTCTACTGACATGCACACCTAAATATTACCTATTTATTCTCACCTTGAAAAGACCCAAGTTATACCGTTCAGGAAACACGTCTGCAGGCAGGGAATCCACTCCGTAGCCATTCGCCATATAAATGTGGAAGCAGTGATTGCATCAACACTGCACTAAGTATCACGTTTCGATTCTACTTTCTGTTTAACATCAGGGCCCCAAGACTGCTAATTTTAAATCATCACAGTTGTGCGTCGATAGAGTGCATATACTGAGTGTTAATTTCAAGATTTTGTACGGTTTTGGTATTCTGCTGAAAGCTAATAGTAGTGGCTTGTCGGTGGCTACCCATGAGTTGCTAGGGGTGGATGACTCATATTTCGACTCCATTTCGATTTATAATCTAAGGAACGTTCTAAAATAAAAGTCGCCAATTTGCGACTCGAGCGGTGTTGCCGTTTCTCGTTTTTTTTTCACGATTTTACAAACATCCAATGTTACATTTACTTAAGTAGTTATTTATTCATTTATAGAGAAACCAATAGCTTCGTAACAATTAAAAATAAAAACCGTAACAAAAATCCAAGCCAAGGGGAATAACTATTGCCAACCACTACACCAAATGTGTACATAGGGAATACCCCGTACCATTAGTACCTACCAGAGCTATGATATTAATACGCTTATTACACTGGCCGATTTTGAAGGAACCCTAACTCAGTTTAATAAAAGTTAGAAAGTTAGGGTCCCTAAGTTGGACGACTTATATGTATGTAGGTTAATAAGAGCGACGCCCTAACCAAGGTCCACGCCTAACCTTAATAGTGTAATAAAATAAGCATTTAGCTCTGAGGCACTGTCCAGAACAGCAATTTTGAAAAGTTCGTTCCAAAAGTTGGCCCCACAGGGAATCAAATCCGGAATCTCTTATTAAGCACCAACAGTTAGGCCAATGAGATCGTCAAATTATGAAAGTCTTAGATAAGATAAAGGAATAAGTTTGTAGAAGGAATCCCAGGAGATAACGTACAGGGGCAAAATAAGTAAGACTCTACACACATAAGAGTAGTAAGTGCTCTAGAAAATAAAGAAGAAAATGTTTAAGGAACTAAGATATTCATTGAATATAATTTAAAAATTAACATTCGTAAAATTGTATTCCTAAAACAACTTATCAAAACTTTCCAATGAACGCATTGCAAAAACTGATTTAATTCGATCAACTTATGAACACCTTCTACTTCGTTTAAAATTGTTATCATTAAAAACGACACAATGTCAAACAAAAGCTACCGAGATTTTGTGATGAGAAACAAATTTAAATTCAACTGCAAAGTAAAATGTTTATGGATATTGAGTAAAGCCAATTTTCAATGCAAAAAAAAATTGGTACTACTTATTTTAGCATCAATAATGGTTCGAATCCCGTTTTTAAATTGTAGATATCATATTATAATGCCCTAAACTATGACTGGGAGCATCGCAACGAGCACTTCTTGTACACGAAAATTATCGATTTGAAAATACAATACCGGGGATTTTTTTTTAATCAAGTTCCCCTCATTGCTTAAGAAATGGAAGGGTCGTTACCCTGCAGGCACTTGATGATATATTAAGAAAGTCACGCAATCAGTTTATTTATAATTTAGTTTGGTTAGATCGAAAAGTAAATACACAGAGGTAGGAGGTTACATTACTTGGAAGGTATTAATTATGAATCTGGATGACTATACGGGGAGATGAAGATTGTATAAATGATGATAGATGTATGAAGGCAATTTTGTAGCTGTGTGAAAGAGTTCGTCCAGGAAAATACTGCCGCCATACCTATTTCTGCCGCTAAGTAGTAATGTCAGTATTACTACGTTCCGGTTTTGCAAGATAAGGGTGAAAGTGAAATTACAGACATACAAGACTTCAACTTATGTCCCAGGTTGACGGGCCTAGTGGCAGTGCCACAGATCTTTGTGATTTAAAGCGAGGAGTGGCACTGTAAATGTTATGGTTGAGCATGTCGCTTACCATCAGGCGCAGGACTTGTTCATCACGTCACTTGGTTAAAAAAAAGTTAGAACTGCAAAGTCAAATTAAATACAAATGAAATGTGTTTATTATTGGTTTTAGGTCAATAAAAGCAAAAAAGGAAATCAGCTTTTGGTTGTTGTTATTTTTATTGTTTATTAGTAATTAATTATTTATTATTTCACATGTTTTCAACGATTTTCGGAAATATTTAAATCTTTTTAGGGATACCACGGCCGGAGCGAACAAGGGTTCGTCCACGGGAACGACCAAGACTTCGAAGAGCTTCATCACCGGTATCCTCACCCTCTGTGACACCGTCACTACTTCTATCCGTTTTACCTGCATCGTCACTATCATGAGTGCCTGCATCACTTTCATTACCACTCATAAAAAAGGACAAAATGATGGAGGATAGAGATGAATGAAATTCGAAAACATACTGCAGAGACCTTAGATAATGGGATAATTGCAGTCACGTGATAATGAGATTGAAAAACCAATCTTGGTTGCTTATATATTTGCACATAATTCGAGCCACTTTGCATTTTCAGTATTAAATGTCAATAAGCTGTTTATGCTTATGACATTTAAGTTTGATTGATCAAGAACTCCTATACAATTTTGGTATACTAAACGTCATTTCCTTTAATAACTAAACCCGTGTAAAAACCGGGGAAATCTTCATTGGTAACAATATTTTTGTATTTATTTTAGACCTATAAAAATAATCATGCGATGTGGCTTTAATTGTGTACCTGGGAGTGCTATAAACGTTTTGATAATTTTTTTTTGACAAATTATGCCAGAGGAGACCGTATTTATTCTCAATTTGCGTAAATTTGTAATATAGAGTCACGTACTACTAATCACTATAGCGTTTAATTTACGTACCAGAACATTACGGTTATAAAGTTTACAATCTATGTGTAGATCGATTGGAACCTCACAAAAAACACTTAATTTTTCTTTCTTTATTTTAAGTGATAATAAATTAAATAGGTAATTATTGTGGTCTGGGTCTACCTTGTCTATTAAATTTATAAAAAGAAAATTTGCATACCTTCAATTAATTGAGAATCCTCAATTGATCCATATAATCACACCAACTATAAAACATTTAGTTCCGAAACAATTTCAAATCCCGAACGCTGTACGACTCGCGTGTCGCTGTTCGAAAAAAAATTAAAAAATAAAGTTTCAAAATGGCGGAAGAACTGTCACATGAGTTATTTTGTTATTAGTCGATTTTTGAGATATGTATTATTTTTTTGTTTTGGTTAGTAATGGAACGACAGGCGGACCGCGCGGAGTGGACGGCGAGACTGAGTTTTCAGTGGGCGGTCCGCCCAGCGCAGTGACGCTGGCGAACGCGTCATGCAGTAGTGAACAAATTTATACGGAAAGTTTGCAAACAAGCTTTTAAGTAACTTTTCAACGTTCGTCCATATATACTGATACCGTTAAAATCAGATTTTGAAGTGATAATATATCGATAATTATCTAGCTAAATATACCTTCCTGTCCTGTCCTGTCATGTGTTTTAACTGCCTCCGTGGCCGAACGGTTACCATGCCGGACTGCCACGCAGAGGTCCCAGGTTCGATTCCCGGGCCGGGAGAAATATTTGTATGGCCTATAATTATTTCTCTCGTGAGTTTGGGTGTAATTTGTGGTTGTCTATGTGTGTATCCATGGCACCCGCGACACAGAGTTTCCCTAGGGCTATGTTGAGTGTGTGCGTTATTTTATTTATTTATTTATTCGTATCTGAGACGTATCCATATGTGTTAAATGTGAATATAAAAAAGTTACAAACCAAATCATTTTCCCAAATATTTTTTTCGTGTCTATTAAGTTTTCTCACTATTTGTCATTTTTAGTCAAAGATTATAAATGACAAATATACAAATATTTATCAAATATATATCTAGTAGTTGTCATGATCATTATCAAAGACAACCTTGATAATTTCGAATCCTGATTAAAATTAAAATATTCATTTTCCCTTACTGCAGATGGTTATCGGTAATAGAAATTAATATTTATAATTTAAACATAATCGCTTCTAACACTCTATTGTGGTCCTTTGTCAATATATTTAATAAAACAATGTGGCATATACGCACTATTTACTGAGTTTTCATTAAATTTCAAACAATAACGCTTTGTTGATTTACGGACACGCAAGTCGAAACATCTTACATTTTCAGTGTTAAATGGCCTAAGCTTGAGAGTTAATACTACTTCAGCTCGAATTCAATTTTTTCCCTTTCTAATACGGTTCATTTTGCTTGGGTCGAGCGGCAGGGACACTGGCCTTATTTCAGAATTTACGAGCGAACGAATGAATGACTGTTTGAATGAAATAAAATTATTTTGAAATCAAATTTATTATAATGACCAGTGAGTAACTAGCTGTTCAACAAACGATTTTCTACGTAGTTGTATTCGTTTCTTTAATTGCTAATACAGAAGCAAATTAATAACAATAATAATTATTTATTTCTGAAACACAAATGTTGCATTAAATAGACCCCATGTTAAATATAACCGCTATGTGTGTGAGACTGGAGTTCGTACTAGATACTAGACCTGTATTAGAGCCCACTAGGCTCCCACCCTATCAGACAACTCATATTAAACTTATATTGAACTGTTAGTGTCGAGTGTCAAACGATTCAATAAATAACAGTGAATAAAATAAAGTAAGTAGACATTGTTGAGTGCTGTGCGTCTCTCTCTCTCTCTCTCTCTCTCTCTCTCTCTCTGAGTGTTTGTGTGTGTAACTGTGTGTGTGAGTGTATGTGTTGTTATGTGTGTTGTGCGAGTGTTTGTAATAATAATAATAATAATAACGCACACACTCAACATGGCCCCGCACTAGGGAAACCCTGTGTTGCGGGTGCCATGGACACACACATAGACAACCACAAATTACACCCAAACTCACGAGAGAAATAAATGTAGGCCATACAAATATTTCTCCCGGCCCGGGAATCGAAACTGGGACCTCTGCCTGGCAGTCCGGTATGGTAACCGTTCGGCCACAGAGGCAGTTGTGAGTGTGAGAGAGAGAGTATGTATGTGTGTAAATTCACGATTGTAAAAATTAACGACACTAATCTTGGTTTATTAAAACTCTTGTCTAAGAGTTGCATAAATCCACCCTGATACGTTTAACTGCCGCCGATGAGCGAATCCAAAAGCAATTGCCCCAAAAATAGCCCCAACAGAAAGAATTGTTTACTACACCGCAACAGTTATCTGGATGAGTTAAATTATACACTCAGTATATCTAACGTCTTGTCTACCAGCAAAAGATACTTTAGTAACAATTCCACTACGACTAAGTATTTTCTGTTCTGATAAAATCGTTACATTTATCGAAACTATTTTACAATTTTGACGTAATTATTTTACTTAAAGCCTAAAAGTATATTTATTTTAATTACAGTTCGTATTAAGAACTAGAAAGGTTTTCGCGACTATTAGACAAGGAAAAGAGTATTTTTTTGGATCTAAATTATTTAGATCCGAAACTAATATATAGGTACGCTATTAGGTATAAGTAGTGTACATTTACCTGTTTTTCAAACAAGCCTACGTTGCGGGTTCTTCACAGATCCCATTGTCACAGTCACGGCTGATTGAGATGATACGGTCATCAACTAATATTAATATCTAATCAAATTTATTAATAACCACCCTATTTTTCACTAAGATAATATCTTATGAATTTCAATGCCTTATTTTTAATTTACCAAAGAATATTCCAATTTACGGTACGTGATAATGTAATACGTTTTGCAAAGTTGTTTTTATTGTAACAATAGGAATTTTTACAAAAATAAGAGTCAATTAATTAAAAGAAATTGAAAAAATTTAAAAAATATTATTTATTTTTTTCTTTAGACGTCATATCAGTACATTTGTGTTGTCGTTACCATAATACCAGTATTTACCTACTTACAGATTTCATTTATATTTGGTTTTCAATGAGATCTCAATATGAGCATCTAGTTCTATATCTATAAATCTATTCTAGACATATCGCACTGTTAATACAATAGTGTATTAAATCAAAAAGTGTATTTTCTCAGAATCGACGAAAAACTTATTTCTCGCTTCCTGTGAAAGATCTGTGTAAACGTCTGTATAAGTTATTTCCTACTTGCCAAATATACATATTTAAAAATAAAAGAGAAAAAATAGTTTCATATTTTTAATAAGGTCAATTTTGGCAAGAACTAGCTCTCATAAAACGTGTCTCAGTTTTTTCTCAGTTTGTTTTTTACAATATTCTAACAACGGTTTTATTGACGTGTTCTCTACACGTCGAAATTTTACGTTCAACAGTGGTATAATCTTGAATTTCACATATTTTTAGTTATAACACTATTGTAATAGCAGTGCGATATATCTATGTAGCCTATACATATATGTATATACATTATACACAGTTATTCGTAAAATACTAGAGATGAAACGGATGTCCGGTAACTATCCGGCATCCGGCCGGATATAGGATAATAGGGGAATATCTTCCGAATACCGGACAATTAAAACTGAGAAAAATTCACAATCAGTACGCCAATTAAATTGATTTATTGGTTAAAGAGGATATTAATAGGATAAACAAATAGCTACTACACGATCGTTGGCAACCTGTTCATTGCTTTTAACCGTAAAGAACTATGAAGTTAGATAACGTAATCTGTACATTTAGTACTGAAATTTCATTGAAGGCAAATTATGGTTGATAAAGACCAGTAATTCTGCAATAAGTGGTAAAACTAGGTTCCGTTTGTTGTCATAAATAAGACAGAGGACAGCTTTTCGTTATAAACTCTTGCAAACTTTGTTAAAATTAGGTACCTACTGCTTGATATTACCAGACCACCAAATGAAAGGATCGCACTCACAATCGATTCGAACTGTCTTCAAATAATAATCGATTTAAAATAACTATGTTTGTATATAATTATGTACAATTTGCAACGATAATAATTAAACGTGTAAATAGATTTTGAAAAAAAAATCGGCAAACGTTGGTATCAAGTTTTAGAATAGTTAACAACAAATTAATGAAATAAAACTAAAACAAAAGAGTAACGGGCATATCGAGTGCTAGGCTTATAAAATAACAACTAGAAATTAAAATATAGACAAAGAATGATGTATAATGTTTTTTTTTCCTTCTCCACCACAAAGAATTTGCATTCAGTACAGCAAACACACAGCACAGAAATTATAATGTTACTAAATTGGCTATTTTTTTCGCTGTTGATATTTTTCTGTTGTGTATTTGTATTATCAAATAAACTTATCGTTTTAACAAACCAAGTGACCACAACTACTCAAGTCGTCAATGTGAAAGTGCAATACTCACTAATCAATAAATCACTATGAACCGGTCGCGACAATTTTGCGACTATGGGTCTAAAATCCGACGGCCGGATATCCGGCTATCCGGTCTAGTTGCCGGGTATCATTATCCGTTTCATCTCTATGAAATACTAATAATCTCGTAAGACTATACCTAACTATCTCTAACATAACATCAGAAACAACAACTTTTTAGACATTTTTTAGATCTGTATCTGGTACTAAGGTAATAAGTTCAAACGCACAAGCGTCTTTCTCGACGACCCGCACCCGCGCTCCTGTGATTGCTATTACACAGAGTGATCACGGCTTAGAGCGATCTATTTAAATATTTTTATTTTTGTATAAAAGGAAAATTTTATGAATTATTTAAATTATGGAACAAAAGTTGTTGTTTATGATGTTAGTAATATGGTCTTGAGAGGTTGTCATTTTACACATAAATATATGTATATGTGCCCATATTGTTATATGGACTAGTATAAGCTTAAGTAACGAACTATGTGGTACGGGTGTTTCTTCACATATAGTTTCTCAGCTGAGTAAATGTCTTAACTTGCGTTAGGAAAATTTCCATAGTATTTTCGGATTAAGTCTTCATTATTTTGGGCTGTAGGTCATGTCACTTACATTCTATCATTCAACCGTAAAGGGAAATCGTCGCTTTAAAAACTAAGCAAGGTTACCTTCTCCCTGTCCGGGCCATACAGTTACCTACGGCTCGAACTTTCAGAGGTGCCGTTTTTGAAGTTTTGGTATTGTTCAAACTCCTCTTTACAAAATATTTACGATTGAAATATTTATATACATTTTATTTTTACATTTTTTTGCTCTACATTTAGAAACAGTAGAGCTCCTTGTAAAAGAGTTCGTCCAGGGAAGCACTGCCACATTATCTATTTCTGCCGCCAACCAATGTCAACATTACGG